TGTGAAAAACAAGCTGCACCAAACCTGCTGACTAGCTCTTGCTCTTAATTAAAATCAACGCGGACACTCGGCTGAATTACGAATTACATTAGGTGAACCCGGCGACCTTGTCCTCGTTGTGGAAAATGTTTTTTATTGCTTGAGAGAATCTTTCGCTAAACAAATTCAAGAGGTGTGTTAATAAATTTAATAAATTCCACTTTTAAACAATATCATTGTTTTCATACAGATCAAACGATATCGGCAAGAAAGAATTTGAAATCTTTTCATTATCAATTTGAAAGGAATATTCGCGTTACTTCGATAAAATTAATTCTCAAAGTACAAACTGATATGAAATTTATAAGCAGAAAAGTTACATACAATTATGTAGTAACTGCAAGTATAAAAAAACTTCTATTAACTGATTTCTCTATAATTTTATAATTTTGTAATTATTTATGAAACTTGTTTCAGTATTGCATGCTTATGTGATTATAAATTAACGCATGTTATATTGACAGGCGAACTGTTGTAGAATTGCATAAAAGGATTAAATTTTCGATACTATACAGATGATAATAATTTATTTATAAATACACTGAAAATTGTCAATATTGTCCAGTAAAACTTATATATATATATATATATGCAACAAAAATGACGGTATTTCTCTATCGTTCGCAATTAATTGCATATCCCCTACGTTTTTAAACGTTTTCTCGGATTTTTCTCTTTTATTGGCTGTCTTCATTAATATGGACTTTGCGTGATTTTTCCGCGAGATCTTCAAGCTTTTTCCATCTTTGATTAACCTCCTACTTTTCCTTCCTTTCGACTATCTGTTGAAAACTGCCCTTTACATACATTAAATATATATTTCATTTGATCGTTTAACGATTAAACGATTAAAGCGATAGAAAGTTCCTTCTTTTCTCGCCGCGTAAAGAATTTTTCTCTACGAAAAAAATTATTAGAATTTCATTAGATGAATAGTAATTATTATCGAATAATGGCAAACTTGTTAGAAATTATATAATAATTCAGATTGAATTCTTCTAGTGAAAAAAATTGCCCAATATAATAACAACAATCTTCTGTATCGTAACACCCAGGTATCGTAAAAGAAACAAATACAATGGCTTTGCAAAAAATAATATTTAAATCATCGAACATTAAGTAACACCCTGCATAACATAAGCTATAAATGTGCTTTGTACGTAAAACGCAATTTTCAACGCTACTATATATAGGTCTACGTAATATTTGAGAATCAGAGGAAAGCTATTTTCCTTCTTCGCGCGAGTAAATATATACACCATCGTTTCGAGCTTCTTGGCGGACCGTCTTGTTAGAGAAGAACGAAAGCCCAAGCGAGATTCACGATTAATTAAACAATAAACGCGTTCAGAAGTACGATATCTCTGCGATCACCAGAAAGATAAAGCCCTGTTGTAAGTTTCATGCACCGAATGACCAGAGACTCGAGATAAGACGCAGTAACTTCGAAGTTATAAAATTCTTGGAAGAAATAATTTATGCGTTCACTATATTATAGTCATTTCATCGATGATTATAAAGATAATTTTACAATAAGAAAATTTTAACAGCGCATAAATTACAGCGTATAAATTAGCAAACAAGTTTTCGTATTCTCGACAATAAATAAATAACACGCACACACATATATATACATATACATATACATATACATACATATATACATATGTACATATATATATATATATA